CACCTCTTTGCCACATTCTCCATTTTCCTGGACAGTGGACACCAAGTACTTGAAGTCCTGCACCTTTGGTCTTAATTCCCCTGTAGTTGCTACAACTGGAATAAGGCTGTAACGTAACTTGGAAAAAGTGCAGCGATGTTAATACTTTCCGGATGCACTGTATTTTTCTAAAGCCCACTGACACAGGATGATGACCCTGCCCTGCTTTCTTCAGGATGGGGTCTTCAACAGTCTAATAAACCAGTATTTGACATAACTATTGGAAACCAATATTTGCAAAGAAATATCCAAAATGCAGTGTTTTCCCTACCATTATCCAAGGAGGGAGGCCTATCCTGCCTACAGAACCACCTGCCCTGCTATAAAGATAAATGTCCATACATGTTCACATATAACCAATTCTGTGTAGTGGTGGAGACATAAAATGTTCCTTTGTCCAATTTCAGTGACTTCAGGGGTGCTGCACAGTAAGAGGGGAGCGCCCTGAAGAAGAACCTAAAGAAATTACACAAGACAGAGCACAGATTCTCACAACTCTAAGCGAGATGAATAATATCACATATAATAAAAATGCTACTGCTAGAAGACCTTGTCATGTGAGCTACTACTATCATAAATCATTATAGCCTAAGCATGAGGTCAGATCAGACAGTCCTGTTTGCCCAAGCTCTAACCAGGACTCCCATTACATCCATCCATACATTATATTTACCCACTTCTTCCTTGACTTCAATACACTGCCACAAAATAATAAACCACTATAACCTTACTACAGACGTTGTGTGCAAGCTCAGTATCAATATGTTCACATTTTACCATGAGTAATGGGGAGACTACTGCATTCTTAATTCACTCTGAAATCTTGCTAAGACTCTGCAAGGACCAACCATTTTTCAAAAGATTTTTACATTCTTTACATTTGGTGGCTGTGGATGAGTGGTTAGAGCAATTGTCCTCCACTGCTAGAGTTGGGGGTTCGAATCCACCAGCAGTCACATGCCGAAGTGTCCCTGGGCAAGACACTAAACCCCTTGTTGCCTCCAATGTATGTCCTATCGGTCTATGAATGTGATAAAGCACTGATTAGTCTCTTTAGAATGATTTGTTCAATTAGCTTTGTAGAGATCTAGTAGAGTGCTGTATGAATGGGCAAATGAGGGCACCGATTGTAGTGTAAAGCACTTTGAGTGTCTCGATAAGATAGAAAGGAGCTATATAAGTACAGTCCATTTACCATTCTAATGGATCATTACAGGAGGCCTACCCATCCTCAGGTAGCATATTAAAACTGTTCCTTTTGACCCAAATGGGATCATATTCCATCCATTATCTTCCGTTTGTTCTGAAGTCAGGTCACGGGTGCAGCAGCTTAAGCAGGGAGGCCCAGCCCCAGACAACTCTTTCCACAGCCACCTTTTCCATTTTTTCTGGGGGGACCTCAAGGCGTTTCCAGGCCAACCAAGAGACGTAGTCTCTCCAACATGTCCTGTGTCATCCCTGAAGTCTCCTCCCAGTCGGACATGCCCGAAGCACCTCCCTATTGAGGCACCCAGGAAGCATCCTGACATCACGTGTGCCGCAGTATGTCAGTACTGTCAGGAGCTCTGCTTCATCTTGCTGATTTTTTTGTTCCTGTTTTTTTTTTTTTTTTTACTTTTTTTGCGCCTACTCTGTACACCCACGCTACAGGTATGACCACAATGCACTTTTGGAGTTTTGTGTGTTGATGCTGTTCCAGCATTGGGCTCAGGCTCTGGACTGTCCTGGCAGCCGTCTCCATAATCCTCCATCTATCTGCACGGACCAAACTCTCCAGAACTGCTGGGTTTCGCGGTGAAACCTTGGATGTTCTATGTCTACTGGACTCTGTTCTGGAGGGCAGTCACCGTCCATTGCCACATTCATTATTATTATCATGCTGCTAATGGGACCGTGTTGCTAATAAGACCACTCCGCAAACAGAACAACACAGCTAACAGTACCATGCTGCTAAAAGAACCTCACTACTAACATAATCACACTGCTAACAGTATCACGGTGCTTACAGGACTATGTTCCTAAGAGAACTTCACTACCAACAGAACCACTCTGCTAATAGGACTATGCTGCTAACAGGACCATGTTTCTAAGAGAACCTCACTGCCAACAGAACCAAGCTGCTAATGGAACCATGTTGCTAAGAGAACCTCACTGTCAAAAGAACCACTCTGCTAATGTGACTAAGCTGATAACAGAACCACGCTGCTAACAGGACCATGCTGCTAACAGGACCATGTTTCTAAGGAACCTCACTGCCAACAGAACCAAGCTGCTAAAAAACCATGCTGCTGTACATGTATTTGTTTTTCACTTTTGGTGCCTTGTTTTTGTATTTTTGTTGTCCATCCATCCATCCATTTTCTTTACCCGCTTTTTCCATTTTGGGTCACGGGGGTCGCTGGTGCCCATGTCCAGCCATCACTGTGCGAGGGGCGGGGTACACCCTGGACAGGTCTCCAGTCCATCACAGGGCCACATAGAGACAAACGAGACAAACAACCATTCACTCTCTCACTCACACCTAGGGACAATTTAGAGTTACCAATCAGCCTAACATGCATGTTTTTGGCCTGTGGGAGGAAACCGGAGTACCCGGAGAAAACCCACGCATGCACGGAGAGAACATGCAAACTCCACCCAGAAAGGCCCCTGGACCGGGGTTTGAACCAGGGACCTGCTCGCTGAGAGGCAGCAGCTCTACCAGTTGCGCCACCGTGCTGCGTATTTTTGTTGTATGTTTTGGTATTTCTTGCTGTGGTATTTTTTGCGAGTCGAAATGGTTCTTCTTGTCCTAAGCATTTTATTGCATTGTTGACCTTGTGTTGACCTGCATATAACAATAAATCTAAACCTAACCTATCCATACAAGATGCCCGAACCACTTCAACTGGCTCCTCTCAATGTTGAGGAGCAGTTGTTCTACTTTCACTACCGGGTAACTGAACTCTTACCCTATCTCTAAAGGAGAGTCTAGCTACCCTGCAGAGGAAACTCATTTCAACTGCCTTTATCAGCAATCTCATTCTTTAGTTCACTACGTAGAGTTCAATACCATAGGTGAGCATAGGAACATAGACTGACCGATAAACAGAGAGCTTTGCCTTACAAATCAGCTCCCTCTTCATCACAATGAACCGACACAGAGTCCACAATACTACAGACGCTGCAACAATCCATCTGTCAAGCTCAGGCTCCATTCTTCCCTCACTCCTGAACAAAACCCCAATATATTTGAACTCTTCCACTTGAAGCTCACCCACTTGAAAGTCCTCCACTTGAACCTCCACAGAGCATCATCCTTGACACAAAAAGAACAATCCACCCTTTTCCGACTGAGAACCATGAACTAAGATTTGCAAGTGCTAATTCTCATCTTGGATGCTTCACTCTCGGATGCCAACCGCTCCAGTGAGAGCTGAAGATCATGGCACAAATCCACCAACAGGACCACATCATCCACAAATAGCAGAGAAAGAATCCTGAGTCCACCAAACCAGGCTCCCTTTGCCACCTGGCTGCACCGAGAAATTCTGTCCATAAAAGTTATGAACAGAATTGGTGACAATGGGCAGCCCTGGCAGAGTCCAACTCCCACCCTGAAGGGGCCTGACACACTATCGGCAATGCAAACCAAACTCTTGCACTGCTTAAATAGAGACCGAACAGCCCATAGCAATGGGCCCCCTATCCCATATTCACTGAGCACCCCCCACAGTGTACCCTGAGGAACATGGTTAAGATCCTTTTCCAAGTCTGCAAAACACATGTAGACTGGATGGGCAAACTCCCATGACCCCTCAAGGACCCTAGTGAGAGTAAATAGTTGATCCAGTGTTCCATGGCCATGACGGAACCTGTATTGTACCTCCAGATTCTGAGGTTCGACAAACGATCAAACTTGCTAGTCCAGTATCCCTGAATAGACCTTACCAGGGAGGCTAAGGAGCGTGATACCCTAAAATTAGCACACCCTCCAGTTCCCCTTTTTGAAGAGGGGTATCCCCAGGCCAGTCTGTCAGTCCAGTGGCACTGCCCCTGATGCTCACGTAATGTTGCAAAGGCAGCACGACGGCTCAGTGGTTAGCACTATTGCCTCACAGCAAGAAAGTTGTGGGTTCAACCCCCGGTTGTACTCGGGGTCTTTCTGTGTGGAGTTTGCATGTTGTCCTCATGCTTGCGTGGGTTTTCCCCCGGGTACTCAAGTTTCCTTCCACAGACCAAAAACATGCATGTTAGGCTGCCTTCAAGCCCAGGCCTCCCTTGCTGAAGTCACTGTAATAAGCACCAAAATGTTTCCAATCAGATCAAAACTTTGCCTCTAGTATTTCAGCAGAAGGAAACAGGGCTTCTGGCCAGGGCCCTGTTGGCTTCTGAGAAATGTAGTCATCATGGGCGGAAATAAAGTCTAGGTTTATTGAGAGAAAACTACAAAATGGTGGCGCCTGTCCGATGTATTTTATTTTTTCGTTAACATTTTACTGTACAATACTTTATCCAGTACTGTCCCAATCTCATGAGTAATATTAAAGTTGACGGTCATGTGGCCTGTACAATTTTTTGGTACTGTACAATATTATGTACTGTACATTCACAAACCGCAATAGAGCAAGTCCGCGAAAGTCTATCCGCAAAGTAGCGAGGGATTACTGTATATTGATCTTGTACCAACAACAGCAAATATAATAATGTGTGGGTGGTAGCTCAGACAATCAAAAGGTATTTGATTTAAAAAAAATAATATTAATTCACTCGAGAAACGGTTACTAGAAATCTACATAGTTCTACTGTGAGCTGGAAAGGCAAGAAACAACATGGAAAAGTCACTAGTCCATCAACAGCAAGACTGGCATGAAGGAGCAAGTGAAAGTAGCAATATGTTGTTTTTGTTAAGTTTGATTTGCATTTTGTGACGATACTAACTCTGTTGCCTGTTCTGTGTGCCTTGTTATGTTTCCCATCAGAAACCCCAATGACGGGCTTGTGGACAAAGGAAAGCGCTGGCCTGTGTTCACCATCAATGAACAGAAACATGTTGCTCTTAACACTGAACCATTAAAGATCCACAAAGGTTTACGCAACCAGATGTGTGCTTTCTGGAATCGTTTCCTGCCACGCCTCCTCAACATCACAGGTAAATTTAGCTTTAAACAAGCATTACTAAAGAAACCGCACTATTATAGACTGTAAGTTCTGTCTGAAGAAACCACACTACCATAGACGGTCTGACTGACGAAGCCACACTAACATAGACGGTCTTACTGAAGAAACCACACTGTTGTAGACCGTGAGGTCTGACTTAAGGTCTGACTGAAGAAACCACACTACCATAGACGGTCTGACTGAAGAAATCACACTACCATAGATGGTCTGACTGAAGAAACCACACTACTGGTCTGACTGAAGAAACCACACTACCATAGATGGTCTGACTGAAGAAACCACAGTGCCATAGACGGTCTGACTGAAGAAACCACACTACTGTAGACAGTAAGGTCTGACTGAAGAAACCACACTACCATAGATGTTCTGACTGAAGAAACCACACTACCATAGATGGTCTGACTGAAGAAACCACACTACTGTAGACAGTAAGGTCTGACTGAAGAAACCACACTACTGTATACAGTAAGGTCTGACTGAAGAAACCACACTACCATAGACCGTCTGACTGAAGAAACCACACTACCATAGACGATCTGACTGAAGAAACCACACTACTGTAGACTGTAAGGTCTGACTGAAGAAGCCACACTACCATAGACCGTGTGACTGATGAAACCACACTACCATAGACGGTCTGACTGAAGAAACCACACTACCATAGATGGTCTGACTGAAGAAACCAGTGTGACTGAAGAAACCACACTACCATAGATGGTCTGACTGAAGAAACCACAGTACTGTAGACAGTAAGGTCTGACTGAAGAAACCACACTACTGCATACAGTAAGGTCTGACTGAAGAAACCACACTACCATAGACCATCTGACTGAAGAAACCACACTACCATAGACGATCTGACTGAAGAAACCACACAACCATCGACGGTCTGACTGAAGAAACCACACTACTGTAGACTGTAAGGTCTGACTGAAGAAGCCACACTACCATAGACAGTGTGACTGATGAAACCACACTACCATAGATGGTCTGACTGAAGAAACCACACTACTGTAGACAGTATGGTCTGACTGAAGAAACCACACTACCATAGACAATCTGACTGAAGAAACCACACTATTGTAGAATGTAAGGTCTGACTGAAGAAACCACACTACCATAGACTAAGGTGACCAGATTATTGATGTCAAGTCTGGTGACATTTCTAGCTTGGAGACCAAAAACAATGAAATTTTAACAAGATGAAATTAAAAACGGGGACTGTTACAGTTTAATTTATTTTTACATATTTATTCATGTTTAAACAATAAAAATCAAATACAACAGCAGAAATGTGTCTCTCCACACTGTTAACATTTCCTATGAGTAATAAAATGAATTAAAGCTGCAAGCAGCATTGAAGGCCCTCGCAGCAAACCGCCGCTCCGGCCGTACCGCGACTGCGGGAGCTCCAGCCACTCCACCCAGTCACCATCGTGAACACTCTCGTGCCAATCCCGCATGCGTTCACCACGAGGTGCCTTTCCTGAATCTTTTAAATCGCCTTCTGTCCTTGTCAGTACTAGTCCAGCTCCAGGTCTTACAAGTATACGTGAAATCCAACCTTCCAGACAGGAGTTATTGTGTCTTCCTGTTTTGTTGCAAATGTTTGACGAGCACTTCCTTTATGCTTTTCAACATGTCGTGTGGTAATCATCGGTTACAGTTTCATTCATATCTTACACAGGGCTAAGCTGGAAGAGTAAATGGACTGTACTTATATAGCACCTTTCTATCTTATTGAGATACTCAAAGCGCTTTACACTACAATCTGTGCCCTCATTTACCCATTCATACAACACTCTACTAGATCTCTACAAAGCTAATTGAACAAATCATTCTAAAGAGACTACTCAGTGCTTTAGATGCATTAGAGGACGACTGCTCTAACCACTCAGCCACAGCCTCCCAAGAGTCACCCAATAATCAACAGTTTCTTCTCTGAGTGGGTGGGGCTTAAGTGATGTTATGAATCAACAATACCAACGTGTCTCGAAATGCTCACTGGTGAAACAAAAAAAATCAAGTGCAGATAAGACGATGTATCACTGAGATATAACTGTTGGAATAATCTAGGGGGCGCACTGGAGTCAAAAGTTAAAAAACAATACCAATGTGTCTAGAAATGCTCACTGATGATGCACAAAAAATTTGGTTCAGATCAGATGATGTATTACTAAGATATAACTGTTAGAATAATCTAGGGGCGCCCTCAAGTCAAATGTTAAAGAAGAATACCAATGTATGAAGAAGTGCTCACTGATGACGCACAAAAAAAATCTGGTGCAGATCGGATGATGTATCACCGAGATCTAAAAAAGTTAAATATGGTCCTCTGGACATTCAAACAAACAAACAAAAAATTATAGAAACGTTTCGTCTTTCATCCGAAAGACTTCTTCACTCTGAGGTGCTGTATTCAGCTCAGTCTTATAAATACCATCTTCTCATAGTGGATCAACCAGTTTGCTGCTGACAGCCAAAATTGTACAATGTTGGTGCCAGAGGTTTTTCTGTGCATCTTGGGGAATTGGACAAGTGTACCAAATTTCATGCTTCTACAACAAACTAAGTCTAATGAGGAGGATATTTTGAAAATTTCCAGGTGGCGCTCTTGAGCCGTTTCTTTTGCGTTTTTTGCAACGCCCTTAAAATACGTAATTTTTCCTCAGTCCTGAAGCATCTGCCAAATTTGGTGAGTTTTGAGATATGTTAAGGCCCCCAAAAGGGCAATTCATTTGACAGAAAAATTGCTCGGATCTAATGAACTGAGCGATTACAATAGGCCTTCGCAGTGCTTCTCTGCTCGGGCCTAATTAAAGATGCATGCAGCAATGAAGGCCCTCAATGGTAGCGTTGTCCTGTCACAAACAAGGTGTACCTTTAAGACCAATTGTTAGCATGGTCTCTGTCAATTACAATGTTTCCAAATATCTGGCATCTGTACTCATCCCTTTAGTTGGCAGCTCAGAACACCACATACAGAACACCATGGACTTTGTGGATAGGGTGAGGGATGTCATCATGGAGACTGATGAAATAATGGTCTCTTTGATGTCACATCACGCTTTACGTGCATTCCTGTTGATGAGGCAGTAGAGATGGTCAGTTTAAGGTTAAAATCAGACACAACTGTGAGCAGCAGGACCACGCTTTCCACAGAACAACTGTGTCAACTCTTGAAACTGTGCCTGCAGTCAACCTACTTCACATATGGAGCCAATATTATAGGCAGAAACATGGGTTTGCGATGGGGCCTCCAGTTTCTCCTATTGTGGCCAACCTGTACATGGAGGAGGTAGAAAAGAGAGCCTTGACGTCCTTTTCAGGGACACCACCAAGTCACTGGTTCATGTATGTTGATGACACCTGGGATAAAATTAAATCTCAGGAAGTCCAAAATTTTACTGACCACATCAACTCTGTGGATAAATATATACAGTTCAAATGAGAAAATGTAAACAATGGCAGGCTGGCTTTCTTGGACTGTGAGGTCTCAGTTTCTGATAGAGGACATTTGCAAACTGAGGTGTACCGCAAACCCACCCACACAGACCAGTATTTGCAGTTTGACTTCCATCACCCTTTGGAGCACAAGTTAGGAGTCATCAGGACTCTGTACCACAGAGCAGACAGCATCCCCACTAACTCAGGAGCCAGGCAGAAGGAGAAATCCCACACAAGACAGGCTCTAGAGCAATGTGGATATCCTAACTGGGCCTTCCTGAAAGCAGAGAAGAAACCCAAACAGGACTCCAGTCAGCCATCAGGTGAAAAGGAGGAACCCAGACCAGTGGTCATTCCGTATGTTGAGGGAGTATCAGAGAAACTGAGACGGTTATTTTCTAAACACAACGTCCCAGTGGCTCTTAAACCCCAAAATACATTATGGCAAAGACTGGTTCATCCCAAAGATCCAGTCCCCCGGCACAAACAGAGTAATATTGTGTATGCTGTTCGGTGTCAGGAGGGCTGTGATCAGTTTTACAACAGGGAAAATAAACAGCCACTGGCCAAAAGGATGGCCCAGCACAGAAGATCAACATCATCAGGCCAGGACTCTGCGGTCTACACTCATCTCCAGGCCAGCGGTCACTCTTTCAGGGATGAAGATGTTCACATCCCGGTTTACCTGAAGCGCGCGGCGTTTCTGCCCACCCGAAAACATCGCTCCAAGCGCCGTGGGAGACGTGCTGGCCATCTCGTGAGGATTAAAGCCAGCTTCAAGCTCTCTGCTGCTTCGTCATCCGCTACTGACCATCAGACGTTAAACTGTCCATCCGGATGCTTCGCTGACCCACTCAACTCCAGCTCGCTCCAGGTGCCCGGGCCTGGTACGCGTAGCGGGCGCGCGTAGCGGGCGCGCACGCGGCTGCGGTAGTTTCGGCTGTCTCCAGAGGAACTTAACCAACTCAGGTCCTTCTGCTGCATCATCTTCTGCCGACCATCTGCTGGATATTCGCCTGTCCGGGTGCTTCGCTGATCCTGCTGGGTCCTGCCTGATCCCCGTAGTCGAGCCTGGCTCGCGTCGCGGGCGCGCACAGCTGCAACGTCTCTGGTCCTTGGAGGCGTGGTTCAAACTCCAGAAGTTTGAAACAGCTGATCTGTGCTCCGAGCACAGCTTTACCTTGATCTACTGGTTCTACAAAGATTGCTCTGCTGAATGTGAGGTCACTGGCAAATAAAACTTTTATCTTAAACTCTAAAAAAGTTAAATCTGGTCCTCTGGACATTCAAAAAAACAAAACAAAGCAAAACAACAAAAAAATGTAGAAACGTTTCGTCTCTCATCCGAGAGACTTCCTCAGTCTGAGGTGCTGTATTCAGTTCAGTCTCTTAAATAGCACCTTCTCAGAGTGGATCAACCAGTACTCATCCCTTTAGTTGGCAGCTCAGAACACCACATACAGAACACCATGGACTTTGTGGATAAGGTGAGGGATGTCATCATGGAGACTGATGAAACATTGG